AGGTTTCGGTTGCGCAAATGATGACTCTTTTCTATTCTGACGAAGTTTTCGAACCCTTTCTCGAGTTTGCTGTCGCTTTTTCTCTTCCCTCTCTTTTTCTCTTTGCTTCAAAACCTTCTTCTTGGTAGCTGATGCAGCATTCCGCTCACGGTTGGCTCTTTTGTCATCAGCCTTTTGTGCAGATGTGCGTGTTTTCACTGCGGCGACTGTCGCGTTTTTTTTCTTGCTTCGAAGCAAGCGCATTCTTTCTCTTGCTTTTTGTGCAAGAACTTCTTTGTTTCTTTCATAGTATTCCCTTTGTTGTTTAAGCTTTTTTTCTTCTTTTTCTTTTCTCCATTGATCAGCAGAATATTTTTTGTTTTCCATTGAATATTTCGCAAGCGAAGCGTGTAAATTCTCGACGGAAGAAGTCACGCTAGGGAAGTCACGTTCTCTAGTAATTTCCAGTCTCAAACGATCGTTTGTTCATGGGTGTATATCAATTAATTGTTGTATACCCCCTCTAGATGTAATGTACAAGGTTGTTGTAAGCGAGGAAGAAGCGAAGTTTAGATGCGAAGATTTCTAAAACTGCCACTATTTTGCGCGTGTAAACTGATACACCAATGCAAACAATACTGTTCCAAGATCGAATATGTTCGCGATTCAAAAAAGACATAAATTTAGATGTTAAATTGAGTTAGATTCGTGAACATTTGGTACCGATAGAAAGTTTAGAATTTGAGAATGACAGATCTGCTAGTTGAAGAGCAATTTCATTTTAAGCGCGGCTATCACAGACCTTTTTGGAGATGAGGATAAATAATTTTAAGGTAAATTTTCTATGCATTTTATGTGTTCGCGATTCAGACTTTTTGGATTTTTTACGCTGTCTTTGAATTAAATGGAATAAAAATTTGTATACAGAAAATAAATCATCTGAGAATTATTGTATGTATTTTTTGAAACTGATTTGAGCTTTTTTTGCGACAAAATCTTGGTGACTATGAAGTATAGTACAATATTGTATAAACAGCGTTACATGTTCGGTCGCCGAGAAAATTGTTTCGTAGCGCGAATATTACAATTCAGTGTTCCAATTTTAACTATTTTATTGAAAAGTCTATGTTTCTAGTGTATTTCTAAGTCAAAATTATTTTGAAATTTTAAATTTTTAAGTAAGAAATTTTTGAATATGTTTGATGCTTTGTCAGATTATGTTACGCGTTACATAAGAATTCGCCTCACTTTTCTGAATACTAAAATCCATAAAAAAATAAATTCTTCCTCTATTACCACGATTTTTGGTTTAATACAAAGAGGTTAACTATATCTAACAGGATATATAAGTTTTAAAGTGTTTTGTTTGAAATATATATTTTTTTGCTCAATATGGTTTTCGTAAACATGCTTTGCCACCCTGGATCGTGCTACTGAT